GCTTTTTTCCTTTGTCCCAGATTTCAACGCTAAAAAAGTGGGGATTAAATATTCGTAGGTTTCGGATTGTGATTTCAAGGGAATTTGAGACAAATCCAGAAAAATAGCTCGAATTTATTGGCAAACCAACGAAAAGTTCGAAGAAATACTCCCCCTCTAACAATGAGCTTTCATCTTTTAGCCTTGATTTTTTATCTTTTATATATTTCTGCTAGAAAGGGCGTCTCGTGGTTAATTACAATGCAATTCCACAAATGTTTAGTGGTTTTGCGCTTATAACAATGACATCATTTATTCTCTTCTTGTGCCCTTTTTCAGTTTGCATAAGGCTTCCTTTCGCTAACAAAAGGTTCCGTTCAATTTTTGTACACAAATCATTGAAAAGCCTTTTTTGCTGCGACCAACTTGTGGACGACAAATGAGTACGTTTGCTTCTGGAAGTAAATAATCATGTAGCAATGTTCCCGAGGCGAGCTATGCTTCAAATGCTTTTGACGTGAGTCAATATGCCTCTTAATTGAAAATGGAAATTTGAAAAGATAATTTTTGTTATTAGCGTACTTGGCATTCGCTCAGAATACTTGTCTGAGTTACCAGGATTGCTCCGCCTGCAAATTTGTAAGCACAGATTATACATCCTTTAGAATACAAATTAGCGGGAACCTTGGTTGTTTGAAAATAGATATGAGATGGCATATTTACCCCAAATACAATCAGAGTCGGTCCCTCTGCTAATGACAATGTTTCTTATTTTTGCATGAAGTTCCCATGGCCGCAAAAGGAAATTTTCAACATTTTCGCGCAATTTGACCTTTGCGCTGTGCGTGCCAATTTTCTCGAGTTGGGGAAACCCCTTGCTGAAAGTTCAGCTGCGGGCGTGGCTTTGGGGCGTGTAAACAGTGTCGGGGCCGGAAAGTGTAAGTTTATGCCGTCACCGAATGGTTGCTCTTTGTTGGCGGTGTCGCTATTTGCCTCTGTTTTGTTTTGGGCTTTTTTTTCGAGAAAATCTCAACAAATGTAAATTAAATCTCCGAATATTAGAAAAAAGATTCTGGATCAATTTCTCCTCAGAGGCAGCTGCAATGATTGAGTTTTATTTTTGAATTAATAGTCGCTCTAATAGGCACACAGTATGTTCTTTCGCTGCTTAAGTGTCTTTTCTTCTTCACAGGCATATCATATGTCAAAGACAGATCATATTAAAGGTCGTCGTCAGTACTACTGATTTTTCAGTCTTATGGTTGAGGACATAACCGTATGAGATCTTTAAATTGCTTCTTGTCCCAACGCCTCACCCACCTCTAGCGTATTCTTTGGTTTTCTCTCCATCTTCAAGCAAACTTCACTCAATGAAAGCTAAAGCATATTCTCTCGTCTCATTTTATGCGTAAAATCTTGGTTACGTGGTGCTCTACTGAAAAAATTTTTCAATTTGCTGCAGACATGGAATGTGGTAAACAAATTTTTCGGCATGTTATGAGTGGTAATCTTCTCCACCAACCAATCAACGGACTATTCAAGAGATTAGTGGAATTGTGGACGTCGTCCTACATCATCGAAGCTATGATTTTGTTAGATTTATGAGCTTTTCGTAGTTCTGATCAGCTAGAAAAGAAAAGAGAGCTGATGGGCTAGTGTACTATAGCGCATCCTTTTAGCATCTGATCCTTAAAATCTGATTCTCGAAATCACAGAGATATTCTCCCGCAATCAAGGTGACCTTTGCTTTCTGAAACTGGATAAATCGGGACAAAAATTTTTTTCTAGCTTCAAGATATATAAATTCTATGAATAACTATGAATATGTTGGCAATATAACTTAATCATGCACGATCAAAGTAATAGATATACGCTTTTTTCCATTTTTGCACATATTTCTTAGCAAACCCCCTTTTTCTAGTCAGTGTCCACAACAGAACTTCATGATGATGGTAAAATTTTCCCATTCTCCCACATACATGTGGTCGTGTGTGAGGGAAGTTTGAAGTCGTAATTTAGCATTAATTAAGACTCTTGGTTTTATGCTCAAAAAAATTGCTACGTAGTTTCTTTGCACATAAAAATCATTAAAAAATGGAAAACGCTGATTTTTCGTATTACTCACTAAACCCTGTTCAGTTTTTTTTAGAACGTTTATTGCCTTTCACTCTGATTTATCAGCAGTGGTTGTGCGTTGCCTTTTACTTTGGACCCTGGGCGTACTTCACGCAATTTAGCAAGTTCAGCCGTCTATAATTATCTTTGGCGCATGAGATGTGCCCGGAGCCTCATGCTCAAACTATGGATTTAATCTACGATCTTTTGCTGGGTCTGAAAACATGTTTCGGATTGTCACGTTGTCCATCATTAATCATCTATCATTTTTGCGAACTATAATTGTCTTTTTTTGCAAAATCAGGTGATCACTAATTTAACAGTGCTGGTAATGTGTTTGGCAAAGGGGTAGATTTACACAACTTCACCAAATAGTCGAGTGCTTTGGTGCCATCGTCAAAGGAAGGTAATTGGCAATGGCTAGTTTACGTCTAGTGTAAGCTGAGTCATTTTGCTGCATCGTCGTGTTTGTGTGAGCGTCGATCGTTCTCTGTGACGTTGCGGGAAGTACATGAGAGTTCGGAATGCAAAAATTGAGCCTATGTGCTGTCAATTCGTAGTTGTCTGCTCCTGCGTGTTCGCCATCAACTTGAACAATATTGCTAAGCTCGCATCTCTTCTTATTTGCTGCTGCAGTGCGCTTATGGACACTAACAGAAATATGCAGTCAAGCTCTAGGCAGCGGAAAAATACGCATTTTTGCGTAAGAAATCTTCCAACAGAACCTATACGGGTTTTATTCCAAACCATCAGCAGCCATTTTTACTTAAAGGCAGCGTCCAGGCAGATCTGGACCTATGGGGCTTTTACGTGGAAAGTACTTTTGGGGCCCTAACTAAGGCACTGCCCAAGCGGCAGCTCATGTAGTGCTCTAATAGCTGAGATATTCCCCTCAAAACTGGCCCCCGCGAACGTATTCGCATGGATTCATGGCAGTTTCGCGCCAGGATCCACGCTTTGCGCCATGAATCCATGCGAATACGTTCGCGGGGGCCAGTTTTGAGGGGAATATCTCAGCTATTAGAGCACTACATGAGCTGCCGCTTGGGCAGTGCCTTAGTTAGGGCCCCAAAAGTACTTTCCACGTAAAAGCCCCATAAGTCCAGATCTGCCTGGACGCTGCCTTTAAGCTGCTCCCAAATATTATATTAGGCTAGAAACTAAGTTTTGCAGCTCACTAAATAATCTTGCTTTTATCTAAAAAGCACTTACATTTTGCCAATATGTTGTTTATAACGTAAGTACAAGCATAGCTGATGTTCCGCCAAAATCTGACGTAGCAGTGAGGATTACGTTAGATATATGGTATGAAGGGGAAAATTGTAAACCATGACGAATTTGGCTGAAATTTGGCGTATTGGGATTATTTGACATACTGATCACGAATAACATGCTGAATTTGCATGGAAAGGGTTTTTTGTAAGATTACTGTAGTCTTACGGTATGGGATCTCACCTTAAACAATGGAAAAGGCTGTAATTTAACTGACGAAATTGATATTCGTGTTTAGCAGGTCAAATAATCTCACTATGTGAAGTCTCCGCGGATTTTGACGTTCCCACTCCCTAGTCAATGATGGTCGTCCCCACCAGCCTTGTGTACTTTAACTTTGTAAAGGCTCTAGAAATTGACTTGTCTTTCAAATCTATTCCTTTCTTACTGAGCCAAATGAGTAAACCTCAAGCAAAAATCTCTCTCTCTATATATATATATATATATATATATATATATAAAGCAGAAAGTTTGTATGTTTGTGCACATTCCCTATAGTCATGAAGGATGAGAGGTGAAGCGCATTTTGATCTGCTGGTCATCAAGATATGGTAAGGACGATAGGAAGCGAACCCAAGACGAAATTAAAAGAAGGATAAGTTTTGCTACCTGTGAGGTCAAACACGATGACTGGCTCCAAACCGGGGTGTAACCCGGGATGCTAGCTCGTTCACATATAATCGGATCATTATGCATGATGTGGGTCGCGAACGGCTTCACTTTTGCTCAAAATCCTCCAAATTCACTATTTTTGGAAAAATACTTGTGATTTTTTTTATTTCGTTTTCAAAAATTAAACAGTTTGTGCTTATTTATAGCACACATTTAGATCTACTTACAGCCAAAGTTTGAGATGTTCAAAGAGAGTTAAGCTATGAAAGCAGTTGCAAAACTTATCGTTAGTTCTCAACCTAATTATATCATTCGTTAAACTCGCTTCCCCTCTCAGATATCATTTTCGCAATTCCGCACCCATCGAACGGAAAATCTCTACTATACCTGACTATTAGACAGTCAGGGCTCTTCTTACCTCAGAAGTCATCTATGCAATTTCACTATTTTTTGGCCGTGGAAACTTAAAATTACGCATCCCTTTACTTCTTTCAACTGTCTTTGTGTTTCTTCGTCGTACTCTCACAGCATTTTTGGCAACCATGATACTGACTCTACCATCAAACTTGTCCCTTTGTAAATCTTGAAAGTGTGCAGCCTAATGAGTGACATATGAGGCTTGTTGATAAATATGCTATTATGAAACTCAATGATGGATCTACCTTATCCTCTTTACTTTTCTTAACAAATTTACTTTTACTTCAAAGATATAATGATAGAAATGTCGCAGATAAAAACGACTTCACTTTTCCATTATCGTCAAACTCCTACACTTTTCAGCACTTTCTGCGTCGATGACATTTATACAAAAGCAATGACCGTAACTGATCACACTCAAATCCTGAATGTCTCGTTTTCTTCGCGCCCTGTCGATGTCATTATGCCCGCAGAGATCGTATTACATGTAATGCCGATTTCATTCCTTGGAGAAAATCCGTAATTACAGATGTCAACCGCAGATGCAAAAAAAAAGGCAGTTTGCATTGTTCCATAAATTTAGTACTGAAGTGCGACCACCGGGAATGATGGGTCGAGATGAGCGACTTCGATTGATGACGTGCTTATTCGAAGAGATCACTGAGTCAGAAGAGGAAGAGGATAATCAGGTGAAAAAAAAATTTCACTGAAAATCTCACTTTTAATTTTTGCCAAAAATCGTTCACATCATATAGTCCTCACTTTTCTGAATTGCAGTAATAGCTTTTTTCAGATCCTAGAACGAATTTCACCCGAGGGGCATTCGCCGTTTGCAGTCATAGATGAATCGCCGTTTGCCGAACGGCGCGTAGCCTCTCCGCAGAACCGTAGCCCTACCTACGCGAGGTACGCAATTGCACCCCCGCGAGAAATCACATTAGCACATCGTATCCTTTCTAGAAAACTCGGTGCACCCCGACTATGTCGTGGCTTATCGGATCCGGGCTTACGTCGTCCAGAAGTATCAACTATGCTTGAAACTTCGAGTCCGGATCTACGTGATAATGGATCGGCCTTGTTGAGTGAGTTTTTGCTATTTTATAAAAAATAAAAAATAATTTTTAAAAATTGACCATCTGACTATTTTTCCAATGCCTTTCTTACTCTTCTCTCATTTTAGCCCTACCACCCATCCCCGAAACAGCCTCATTTTGACTTGATCGAAAATGACTGCGAAGAGATCCATCAAGGCCGTAGCATAAATCGGTCTCTTCGGCTGGCTGAAGTGTCAGTTGATAACATTGGATAACCAATTTTTTTTTCTAGAAAATCGAGCTTTTTCTGTACATATAATCGAATGCCTCCTAACATTGCTCTTATTGAAAATCGTGTCCTACCAAATAGTCACTTCTGTCGATCAGCTATGAAGAACGAATTTTTTACCTCTATGATCTCTTTTTATCCTCTTAACGTTTTTTCTCAATTTTAAATGTTACCCGAATGAGTTTGGTTTGTGAACATCAACATTTTCAAATTGTCCATATCCGGTTGTTTTATAGTTTTACTAGTTGACTTACCCGGCTCCGCCCGGCCCTGTCATTATTATATTCGTAATCAGCATGCTCGATTACCCCTGTGCCAACTCCCAGCCCCGTAGCTCAAATTTTGCAAAAAATCGATAAAATCGATATTGATCGATGACGAAAAGTAGTCTATGACACCCGCCGGGGCCCGAAGTGTATGTATGCCAAATATGGTCCGGAATCCGGATCGATTCAGAAATGGAATTTTTTATTCGGAACATACGTACAGACATACAGACAGACAGACAGACAGACATACAGACATACAGACAAACAGACATTCAGCTTTATATATAAGATGAGTGTCTTCTTCGGGTATCAAGAGCCTTGAATAATTTCGAAACGGGTCTGGGATCGAAGGATTATAATTGTTGTGTTTTTCAAATAAATTTTCCGCTCATAGTTGTATATGAATTTGAAGGGTTCAACGGTCCTACAATCTGCTACAAGCAAGTGATGTGTTCAAGATCATTTTCAAAACAATGAAGTATGTTGAATATTGCAAAATCTTTTTGCACATTGAGTGCAGCATCTCTCACAGTCTCGCTTGACTCGAGTTATTTAGGAAAGTATAAACAAAATGTGCGACTGTGCTGTTCTGTGATTGTGGCATTGGCACGAATTAGCACCGAATTACACTTCTCCGGCTTTTAGAAGTAAATACAAGGGTCAACAAACCCGGCACGTGAATTCCATGCTTGAGTCCTGAAATGCTAATTCGACATGTGTACTTCTATTCTCTCGTGGTTTTGACTGAACTCTGTATGTATTCAATATGTCATTTATTTGGACTTTGGACTATATGAGATGTAAAACTGGCCACTTACAATCCTGCAGATCTAAACATGTGTATTTGCACAACCTCGAGTTGCGGTTGAAAAGTTGACATAGGTGTACACAGAATATTTTATCTCTTTTCTGAGCGGTCAAATATTTTTTGATAGAAGTGTGCGATCCGGTTATATCTTATTCCTCGTAAAGTTATGCGATTACTTTGAACGTACAAGCTTTGCAAATGGGCTATTTTCTTGACCGGCTAGATAAACCAAACAGTGTCTGTTCAAGGAATATATCTGGGGTGGAGGGAGGAAGAGGGGGGCGGGGAGGAGGGAGAGGTACGATAGAACTTTTATTAAGAGCTCCACGCGATAGTTCAACCTTTGGAAACTCCTTGGCATGCTTTCTAGATTTGGGCCTATAATTTTGAAGTTTTGAATAGCGGGAGGGGTGTCTGCCGCCAAAGATTTTTCGAACGGGTTGATTGACGTTTTAGAGACTTCGAAGATTAATCCAATTATTTACAAGTAAAAGCAAGACACCTGCCAACTTTGAGCTCACATTCGTCCACGACCTTTCTGTCCTACAATTCTCTTCCCCCTCCCCTCCTCCCCCATCTGCCCTTTTCGCACTCGCTATAATTTCTCTCTTTTCTTGCTTGCTAAACCCCAGTTCTTTAGGCTTTCGAATACAGTGAGAGGATGGTGGACTCACGGCTAGGAATAGCTGGATTAGAGAGGGAAAACTCCATAATTATTTGACAAGAGAATAATACGTAAGTTGTTGTAATTGTCACATAAATAGCTTGGTAACCTAGAAATGCGAAGTGTGGAAATCAGAAGTTTGTAGCACGCTCTCAAGCGAGAACTTCTGCACAAAGCGACACGTGTGCAGTAAATTTCTGTAAGCTCAAGAATTTATGAGTGAGGACTCAACTGCGCTAAACTTAAAGTGCAAATCTTTTCATCAAGTTGTGTTGATACTCGTGTCTGTCATGCAAGAGCTGATTGATTAGAGTGTTTTTTTTTCATTACTTAGACTTTCACATGTCTTTAGCTGTCAGCTCCATGAAGTGAAATTGCTGAATACAGAGTATGCAAATAACCATTTCCATGAGCATCTGAATTATTACAGGCTATAAATGGAAATAAGATAAAAATGAGATTCCCCTCCATCAAGCTGTATGATTAGAGGATAAATTTAATTTTGAATCTGTAGAAATTTTCCACGCACCATGATCGTAGGCGTCATTTAAGACAAATATTGGCAATACTGACGCTTCATAGAAAATTTTCGCGATCTTTTCTGTTCCTTCCTTCTTCCGCCACTCTTGCTTTAGCCTGCTACAGAAAATGATGTGTTATCTGTTACAGAAAATGATTTAGTCTGTGACATAAATAGGCCCAGGCCATAAATGAATAATGTACAAAGTCTCGAATATCCATGCTGTCATACGCCTGCGTCCTCCTACTTTCTTCGAATTGTATTGATACACAAGCTATAATAGCAATGGTAAACAAATATACCTTCCATTGTTTTTTGCTGTCAGATGCTAGCCGCTCTTTCCCCCTCTTTTTCCTTCACTCTTCGTTCTGATAATATGTTATGGTGTTTACGGTGCTCGCCAATTGATATTGTTGACGCTTTTACGCTAATAGCATCAAAAAGTCGCAAGTAAACTAATCAACTGTTTGCTTGGAATTTCGTCAAGAACTGGATTACTAGGTAACTATTAGGAGCGCCATACATATATAAGAAACTGCTCCTTCTAAATTTCTTCTCGTCTTTCGTCAATTACTTCTTAGTATTTTCCCCCCCCCCCCCTCTCCCTCCACTTATCTCCTTCCCTTGTCTATTTTTTTCCGAATTATAAAATTACTTGCCGCATATTTTACCTAAGCGGCAGAAGCGAATAGCGTCCGTGTTTACTTTTTGGCTTCAGTAGAAGCTGTACGGTGAATTTACACTTTACATATGGACATAATAGAGTAGGTAAGTATTTCTCCCCCCCCCCCCATCTTCTAGCTTCACGAAAAATTATGCTTTTACATGTGTCAACATATAGCGTTTCACTTGGGCAACGCTGAGCGGGGTAGCTCCGCCTTATAGACAAACGCTGGTCAGCGGTGGCCCGTGACCAACCTAAAAATTATAATAAATAGTCAGGGTTTTTTAAAAATTTTTTTTGATTTGTGACAGTCTTTCTTAGGCCGTACCGCACATTTGGCCTTCATGCAAGCATCTGTATCAAAAATAGTTATCTAAAAACTGAAGCGGATGTTTTTAACCTTGCGCTGTAGAAATCTCGTCGTTGTCAATGGTCAATGCGGATTTTTACAGGAAGCGGGAAGTTCGAGATTATTGTTTGCAAAGGATATCAAGTTGTCATAACTAATCAGTGTTCTCTCTCTCCCTACTCTTCTCCCATCTCTCCCCAAATTTCGTTCTTTCACCACTCTGCAGTGGGCTGGTTGTCCTAAAATTTTTGCAAATCTGCGCGCTTTGTCTCTCTAGCGCTCGGCAAACTTCAAAGTCGCATGACAGTCACATTTATTTAGACCCAACAGCTGTGCTCACAGCAATACCGCTGTACGTGCCGGGCTAAAAGTACTGTGTCCCTTGATGTCACAAATGAGCTCCTTCGATCAGACGTCCCCCACCCCCTTCCTCGCCCTTTTTTGATAGCACGCACGTCCTCCAGTGCGATATGGTCGGATCCAAATATTCCCACTGGTAATTCAACTTGTATTTGCGATGTTCTACGCTCTAAGCGACCAGTTTGCATCAAAAGGATGAACGAAGACTCGGTCGCATCAATCGGAATTTTTTACTCTTATTATGATTATATTCTCCGTCCTCACCAAATCATGGGAGTCTATGTCAGCTGCCTTTGACTTCAGAAAAAATAGGTCGAAGATTGAAGTTTGAGTCGTAAACTTGCAGTCACTCATCTAATTGATTGGCTCTTCAATCGTTTCAATTTCAGGAAAATCAATTACTGCTACTTGAGATGGCTAAGAGAGCTTTGTTGAAACATTAAACAACGAAGATTTTTTTATTAAAAGAAATGCAAACCATTTATTTGTCCTAGAAATGCAATGAGCTTATAGAATTCTGATTTCTTTCCTCACGCAGTTCAGTGGGAGAATGCGAAATCTGACTCGTCGGTAAATATCTACGAAATTATACTAAGGTCTTTATCTATCGCTTCGAGAGATTTAGTTAAAATTTGCTCTTCTTTGATGTTCGAACGTTTCACAGGGTATGAATCCTCGCATGACAAGGAGTAGTCACTTTTCTACAAGTAATTTCAATTTTTATTGATAACTTTGTTTGTATTTGTTGGAAAAGTAGCCAAAATCAGCCATATCATATGTTCGTAAATCTGAAATTATTTCCTCGCACTCTCTTCACCTACATGTGATTTTTTTGAAACCTGCTGTTTGGATTCTGATTTTCTGCTACCCTCATCCATCAGATTCATATCATTGTTTTGATTTATAGAATCTTTAATCCTTCACGCATGTTAATTTCGCGGCCGCCCATCCAATTTGATGCCGTTGCTCAAGGTGCCATGTTTTCAGCATTGGCTGTTTTCTTTTGCCATGGTTCGCCCAGAAATAGACTTTTTATGGCTAAAAGAACCTTCAAAAGGAAAAACTGTGTCAACAACAGCTCGCCATCTCTTTTCTTTCCACGTATGCTGTCAACTTTGCTACATAGATCTATTTTTTAAGGTGTTTGCTTTTATTCAGAGCCTAACAAAGTTTGCTCGCTACGGCTGTAAGCGGAAACGAGCTACTCGTCTGCGCAATTTGTTGACAAGCAAATATCGTGCAAACGAGCGCATCCCTT